TGGAATTTTTAATTTATCATTATCTGGTCAGGATTTTTTCAGCCAACCTAATGGCAATATATTTTTCAACAAACCAGTATTAAATTCGATGTAAAAAACTTTTCATCAATTGAGCAGATGGATGAAGATCGTTTCTAGACTATTATTTATATCGGAAATATAATTTTCTAGCAGAAATGATATTTCATACAATAATATTATATCTATTTGTAGAAGCTACAATAGTCTACAAAACATCGATATATTCTTCTTACCCTTATCTTAGTTTAGGAAAGCAATATATAATGCACTACATAAAAGATATGTTACGTGGTATGTAATGCTACTATAGATTAAGTTTTATGTTTAATTTTTGTTTTTCAGGACTAATATAAGTTTTTCATTTTGTATTATGTTCTCCTGTAATTGGGTCTCATGACCTGTTGGATGCATTTTCTCAATAAATAAATGAATAAATAAATAAATATAGACGTAGTTGTTTCGAAAATACTTTTCATTTCGTGTAATTCAATATTAATATAAAAGTAGTTGTTTCGAGAGGATTTTTCTTCCAGTTTGTATTTGAAAGTAACTTCTATGCATGATCTCTATACAGTGCTAGTCAAAAGTCCCCTCCCCCCCTCGTATCTTTTGAACGGGTATACTTATAATAATGAAATTTGGAGGGTGGAAATAAACGGATGTAGGCTTCTTAACTGGTCATAACAGGTGACGCAATAGTCATAAATGACGTCACAAGGCCACTTTGCGTCACCTGTTATGACCAGTTGAGAAGCCTACATCCGTTTATTTCCACCCTCCAAATTTCATTATTAGAAGTATACCCGTTCAAAAGATACGAGGGGGGGAGGGGACTTTTGACTAGCACTGTATATCTTTATAAATGACTTATTTTTGAATGGAATGCTTTCTTACTTCCATTACACGTTTCACACATTTTTGTATCCATCTTTATAGTGAACAACCAAAACTTTTTTTCACAAAAACTAATCTCTTCTAAAAATATACCCCTTTCAATTTAATGTACATACATTGTTTTCCATTGAAAGAAAATGGAATTCATTCAATGAGTAAAAAATTTGTAACTCCGACAATAAAACTACCAATGGTATCCACTTGATTTGGATCAGCCTTTATAGCATACCTCTCTTCATTACAACGGAGTTGGTTAGAGTTAGGGTTAGATGTTTTACTGAATAATTTCGTATTTTGAATTTCACATTTGTATTGAACAATAAGTTTGAAAATTCAATGGAGGATAAAACTTTTTGAAAAATCTGAAGGTGAATATCTTTCACTTTACATAAGAAGTGATATCGCAAAAACTTTTTTCATATACAGTCAGTGGGCATACTTGAATAATGGCTATAAATCAAATCATCTAAAGGAACAATTCGTTCAGGCCCGTCTCAACTCCCTACACTGTAGGTTAATGGACTGACATCTATCAGAAAACAATTACTTCCCTGGCTAATAACCACAGTGGGCGATGCCCACTGACTATATGTGAAGAGTTTTCTTTTCTTATACGAGGAATTGGACAAATTTCGGATATGCAGTTGGTTACCTCCTTTACAGGCAGATGGGGTGATGACAAACCGGTCGTTTGTTGTCCGCTTCAGCCTAGTTCGAGGAATGATACTCTGTAGGAATTCGATTTTCAATTATCGGAAATCATCGACTTTATGTTGATGATACACACTATCTTGCACTGACGCGTGGCCAAACAGCCCAAAACCGGTCTGAAAGTGTGTTCCAATAATAGAAAATATATTGCGACAGTTGTATTGCCAACATCATATACAGGAATAACTTCAGTGAAGAATCCTTCGTAGTATTAGCCAGGGGAGTAGTTGTTTTCTGATAGGTGTCAGTCCATTAACCTACAGTGTAGGGAGTTGAGACTGGCCTGAACTGATTGTTGCTTTAGATGATTACAAAAACTTTTTTGTTTCCTAAGATCAAGGAAGAATAGTTTAGTCGCAAACCTAAAAATTTACGAATAAAATGGTAGTTTTCTCAAATATATAGATTTCACAGATTTAGATATCAGTCTATTTCAGTTGAACGTTGAGTAAGACCAAATGCCTTAACAATTAGCTACACAACTTATAAATGGTACTAGTGTCCAACAACCAACAGAAAAAAAGTGGGGTAGTGACAGACTACCTATAACACAAAAGTGATATACAGTGTGACTTGAAAGCGGGACACCTCCCTTAAATTTGCATCTTGTCTCCGATTTCGAAAAATTTCATTTTGAATTGTGGAGCTCCAAAAACTGTACTGTGGGACCAAATATAATTTTTTTCTATAAATACCAAGGCCTGCTGAGAATATTTTTACAGGTTGAAATACAAGCAAATTAGCAATTTTTAAGTAAAAATTTAAAATCACCAATGAACTAGGCACCAAATTTCATCAAAGAAATTTTATTACGAACTAATTCAAGTATCTGATGGACAGAAAGTAAAATAAACATCGAGTAACAATATTCAACAAATTATTGTAGAACGTTCATAAAATTTGTGTTGTTTCAACCAATCCGCCATTCATATCAATACACTTGTCATACCTTCTTCTAATATTCAATATAACTTTTCTCAGTTGTTCTGTTGTAATCTCTGCACAAGCCGCAGATATTCTGTTGCGTAGTTCTTCTACTGACCGCGGTCTAGACTTGTAAATTTTTTGATTCACAGTACCTCAAAAAAATCTAGCGATGTCAGGTCCAGTGATCTTGGCGGCCACTCAATGTACGGACTATTTCCACCTATCCATCGATTTCCATAATTACTATTCAGCCATTCTCTTACAATAACTTCATTATGTACAAAAGACCCATCTGATTGAAACTTCAAATCCAGGCTATCCTACACTGGTAAGTTTTGTCTCTGTATCTGTAGAGTAGGGAGGGTGAGTGTAGACTTACAGCATTTAGGCCACATGTGACCCATTGTACATCCTCCTGAGGAGTTGTCCTCCTAGGTCATCGTCCATCCTGTCCTTTCCAAGAAGGTGAACAGGTTACTAGGAGACATCTCCTTTATATTGGTAGGTGTAGGCCAAGACTCGCCGAACACACACTCTCTTTGGCAACCTTGAGGTTTCTCACGGTGGCCTCCGCGAAGATTTTGGAAGGTGCAGCGATATTACTGTCGTTGCGCGACTTCTTCAACCTTCCTGGGGTTCCCTCCGTGGAGGTGCACAAGGGAGTACGCTTTCCTGCAGGGGCAGCCGGTTCCTTGTCTTTCTTCAAGGCGGAGCTCTTGGCGCCCGCCGCAGGAGGTGTCTTTGCTGTTGTAGGTGATCTGCTATGTCCAGACTCATTCCAAGCGGTAGTTTGGGGTGAAAATTTCTGTTCATCTCGTGCCACCGCCTTAGATTGAGGTGATCACTTCTGTCCAGCCTCGGAAATGGTTTTTGTTGTTTCTGTTATTGTGTTTGTTTCATTCATGTGTGTTCCCACGAATAGCGAGGGAAGAGTTGGTAACCTCTGGTAGAGCTCTGCATTACCAGAGGTAGACTGATTACAATGAGGTTTCGTTTCCCAAGGGGATCGTTCGTGACAGCATATTACCCTGCAGCCATTCAGCTGCCGGCATGATTCCTCACACCTTAGCTTGGGTAGGCTGGTCTACGGTGGTATGTTTTGCAAAGGCTTTTGGGAAGTTTTAGTTCCCCTCACTCTACTTATTTCTGCCACTCACTAGGAGTCCGGCGACCCCTTCCGTAAGGCCATATTAGCTTCCCGGGTAGGGCCTCAAGTCCCCTGGTCGTTCCCCTATCCGCCACCTGGGGACGCTCCCGATAGGTAGCCCAACCCACGGGAACTGGTAAGTTATGTATTGCGAAACTCATTTCTCAAAAAAGTCTAAAAATATAATTTCATTCAGATTACTTTCAAAGAAAAACTGACCGATAATCTTATCATGGATTATTCCATACCACACATTTATTTTATGGAAATATTGCCTTCTTGTGTTTATAACACAATTGGGATTATTCTCAGACCAGTACCTTGAATTTTGGGACGAAACTACCTACTCCATTTGTAGTGAACGTATCTTCATCACTAAACAAATATGTTTTGAAGAAGGTAATATCATTCAAGTATTCATCTTGAGTCCACGAACAGAATTCTTACCTTCTTTCTTCATCTCCCGCTTCCAGAGCGCGTAAAATTTTTGGCTTATATGACTTACTTTCATTTTTTACAAGGCATCTGCTGATATTTTCTCTAGGGATATTTGAGTTCAAACTAGCCGTTCGTAAGCTTGAATGAGGTTTATTACGAAAATATTGCAATATTCGCACACCATTTCTATTCTCACGATGTAGATTGTTTCTGTTTTTGAGCATATGCCTCGATAAACAATCTGTTTTGTCTGGATGTCTGTTATGAAATTCTTTGGCAGCTTCTCTTGCAGAAAAAGCATCATCTCCGACAAGGCGCACAAGTTCAATTTTATCTTGCACACTTAGTTCTCCCATGATAAATCACTAATTCCTATGGCTTCACAACATATTTTTCTTACTAATCTTCAATAGATTTTTTGACAGCAGCGATCATAATCAATAATAGTCTTTTGTTTCCAGTGCCAAATGAAAAGAGCGCGATTTTGCATATCAGCACGGTGTTTCATGGCGAACTCATTTTAAAAACCATTTGAGAGGTGTGCAGTTGAAATTCTATCATGATACAATACGAATGTTGATTCGACCACATAATCAATAATATCAATCAATTTTAAATTTTTACTAAAAAAATCGCTAATACGATTTCTTGTATTTTAACCTATAGAAATATTGGCAGCAGGCCTTGGTATCTGTAGAAAGCAAATGATATTTGGTCACAAAGTGCAGTGCTTTGAACTCTACAATTCAAAATAAAGTTCTTCGAAAAGATGCAAATTTTGAGAGGTGTCCCGCTTTCAAGTTGGTCACACTATATACCCAAGTTTATCAATAATAACAATTCATTGAAGATAAAAACTTACTTTTTCTTTTTTTCTTTGGGACCATTCACGTCGAATTGATCACCATTTTCATTCAGGAAAGAAACCTTTCTCTCTGGGGATAGTTCTTCTCCGAAATCACGTACAGCATAATTACACGGATCAGATAAAACACACTCGGATTCTGAACTGTTGGACTCTTCTAATGCCGTATTATTCGGATGATCTGCAAAAAAAAACATACGATATTCTAAATGTGTTGTAATTTTATACTTTGCTAAAAAACACATCATAGTTTGTGAAGAAAAGTATTATTGGAGACATTAAATTGAATTCTTTCTTTGGAACCTTTCACGTGTTCACTAGAGAGAGAAGGTGGACGTATAAAAAACAAATTCAAAAATTAAACCTGCCTGGTGACAAATGACGCTCCAAAATTCATAAATTTAGATAATATTCTTATCTGTTCAATATTTATCGTATATTAAACAAATAATTTGCATTATAGAGGGTGGCCCACCACATTCGCCTTGGTATTTCTACTGAAGAGAGTAAGGGAAAAACTTCCAGCACAGGTATATGTGGGTCCATGAGGAGCATATTCCAAAATTATTTTGAAATGTACAAGGGTGACGTGACTCCCAAAAAAGTTACATACCAAAGTTATATTTTTTCTTCTGGAACACCCTATATTTTTTATATTTTTAGATACTATAGACAAAATAAAGGTGAGTTACTATTATATTTCCCATACTTAAAACTGACCGATTCTGAGAAATTTCGAGAAATTCAAAAGTACAGACCATAATTTAAAAATTGTTTTCACCCTGTAACGTGTAACGAGCTGCTCGTGATTAAATGTACTGTTTAGCTTAAAGGTTAAAGTTGATTACCACAAGAAATTTTCAATGCAATATTATTCCGAGTGGCGAAAAAATTTGCCTCAAAATTTGGACACACATTTAATTAAATAACTTCTTAAAGTTGAACGGAACACCCCGTATTTGATGGCGTAATTTGACGCAGGAGGAGATTCCCTTTAAAACTATATCAAGGTTCCCTATACCTATCTCTTCTGCTTTTTACACAAAAGGCGTTTTTTTATTTTACTTATGAGTAATTCTTTTATCTTTAAAATGAAACACGCCGTATTGTAATGAAAAGCCTGAAAAGCGTTTTAAACACCTTTTTATTGTAGAATACGTAGATTCGCTAGAAGCACAAGTTTAATTTTTTCAAAATAAGGTGTATCTAAAGTGAAATGCAAATGTAAAGATTAAATTTATTGCCATTTCTGAAATATTAAAAAGCATTCTTCAAAATAAGAATATGCATGTGTCTTAATTATTGAGGCAAAACATGTTAAAATCGCTTATTTCTTAGTAAATATATTAGACTTCATAGTGGAATAAATATCAAAATTACAATATGGGGTCAATAAAAACATACATTTACTATTGCCATAAAACCTATTCTACTATTTTTTCAATTAGTAGACTCTGGCCTAGATGACGTTAATTATTATTATGAAACAAAAAGTATTTGACAGCGACACAACTTGTTAATCAAACCATTATAATTGTTTTAACTAGTTTAAAATTATTGTCATTTTGAAATATTCTAAAATGAGAACTTATCTCCAGGAAGAACGACTTGATATGATTTTGATAATCGGTGAGTGTGAAGAAAACTGTTCATTAGCGTCAAGAATATATGCCCAAAGGTATCCTAACAGGAGTCATCCTAACAAGCGTTCATTGGAAAAGTTGTTGCAGCTTTTCCGAAGAACAGGCAGTGTATCTTATAATATGCAAGAACGGCAAAAACCGGTTACTGGAAATGAGGAAAATTAATATTTAGTGATGTTATCTTTAATGGAACAACTGGAATAAGCAGAGAGAGTATCCAAAGAATAATTAAAAATTACAAATTCCAGCCGTATCGCATTCAACTACATCAACAGCTTTTTGAAGAAGATTATGATTGACGACTGAATATTTGTTTATGGGTTTTAGAAAAGTTTGGTGATGAAGAAAATTTTTATGATTATGTGCTTTTTTTCGATGAATCAACTTTCCATAACAACGGATTAATTAACAGACATAACTTTCACTACTACAGTGATGAAAACCCTAATATTTTTAGAATCCTTGATCACCAGCACAGATGGTCTGTTAATGTGTGGGGTGGAATAATTGGAACGCAAGTAGTAGGTCCTTACTTTTTTGATAGTCATTTAAACGGCGTCATGTTTTCGGATTTATTAGGAATAATTTGCCTATGCTGTTGGAAAGTATACCTCTTAATATTCGTCAACGGATGTGGATGCAGCTAGATGGTGCTCCTGCACACTTTGATAGGCGTGTTAGAAACGAGTTATATCGACAATATCCAAATAGATGGATAGAACGAGGAGGTCCACAGACTGGCCAGCCAGGTCTCCGGCCCTTGCAAGTCCCGACTATTTTTTATGAGGATATATCAAAAGTATTGTTCATGATACACCGCCAACGATACCTCAGGATATGAAAGTATGAATGAGAAGAGCGTTTCGTTCCATATCGCATAATATGTTATTCAGAGTTCAGCACTCATTCAAGAAAGAGCTCGCCTATGTATCGAGAATAATGGACACCATTTTGAGCATTTATTCAAATAATAAACTATCTACGATTCTTAATTTTTCGATAAAATGACTTCAAGAATGCTTTCTTGCTTTTCAAAACAATACAGGGTGTTCCATTTTAAGGATAAAAAAATTACTTAGATATAAACGCCTTTTGTGTAAAAACCAGAAGAGATAGGTATAGGGAACCCTAATATAGTTTTGAAGGAAATCTACTTTTTCGTCAAATCACGCCACCAAATATGGGGTGTTTCATCTAACTTTAAGAAGTTATTTAATTAAATGTGTGTCCAAATTTTGAGGCAATTTTTTTCACCACTCGAAATAATATTACATTGAAAATTTTTTGCCAAAAAAATTATCCTATCAAATTTCACAACTTCCTCAAGCACGTTATTTTAGGTAACATCCCTCCGCCTTCGGCGTCGGGATGTTACCAAATAACGTGCTTTCGAAAACTGTGATAAAATTATTTCGTTAGTTATCAATGTCCTTGGGATATTATAGCTGAAAATTTCATATGGTAGTTAACTTTAACCTTTGAGCTAAGCAGTACATTTAATCACGAGCAGCACGTTACACGTGACAGGGTGAAAACAATTAAAATTATGGTCTGTATTTTTAAATTTCTCGAAATTTCTCAGAAACGGTCAGTTTTAAGTATAAGAAATATAATAGTAACTCACCTTTATTTTGTCTATAGTATCTAAAAATATAAAAAAAAAATAGGGTGTTCCATAAAAAATATAACTTTGGTATGTAACTTTTTTGGGAGTCACCCCGTATATTTCAAAATAATTTTGAAATATGCTCACATATAAGTGTAGGTCCAAAGTTTTTCCCTAACTCTCTTCATTTCTCGTAGAAATACCGAGGCCAATGTGGTGGGCCACCCTGTATATTTATTGCATATTCGAGACATGTTCACTGGCCTTGGTCGTATGCCACTTTGCCCTAAAGCTTATGATCGCCTACAGATATGGAGGCGCGTATCCATTTGGAGTAAATGGTCCGTAACGTGATCTAGACCTGGTAACGACTGGATGAGTAGAATAATACAATTTCCTGAAAAAAATATATAAAAATTCTACGACTCATGTACTTCCGATTATCAATTATTATGCCATTTGGATAATGAAGACAATGAACTAACTACGTTGAAACAGGTTTACTTGGACAATTCTGTTAAATCTGTTGAAATCTGTTTTTCCGTTAACCTACGAACGACTCGCAAAAGTCGAAACTTGTGCGAGCTAAGGAATAACGAGGTCTTACCTTTTAACGTGTGATTCCTATCACGGGTTGGACGCTAGGAATTCAGAATCGATCGTCCGACCTCGCGGCTTAAACTACCAGTTCACAACGCCAGCGGTCGATTGAGTGAGTGAAGCAAACCACCCACGTCAACCCGACCGGCTACCGTTTATCAAGAGAGACATATAAAAACCTAGTAAGCCTAGCGTGAACCTAGTGAAAACTCAGTAAACTTTGAAATCAACAATATCAAAAGACTGCTCGCTTCTGTTCTTCAAATTCAATTTTTTCGTACTGTTCATTTGAATTTTCAGATGTTGTGGGCCTATAGACCTAGGTCCTTTTTCAAAACATTCGTAATATATAATGGATGGAAAACACACACTCTCAATGGTGAACTGAGGATCCTTTTCACAAAAAATGTGCATTTATCCTTAAGACCACCCATTCATTTGATAATAATTATAATAATATGCTTTATTGCCCAAAGAACATTAGGTCTTATTGACAAAGCTACCAATAAGAATCAGATATCATTCACATGAGTTCTACTTTGAATGAATGGTAATAAATTGTACTCACATGGACCACTGTCACCCTCATTGGTATACACCGATGTTTCGCCTTAAGACACTTGCCCTAAGGCTCTTCAGTACCAAATTGGATATATTAATTGAAACTCTATACATGAATGTGTAGAATGTGTTAAAAAAAAGTTGTTGGTCAAATCATTATTTGATAATGAAAATACTTCATTTATGAAATATCTCCGTAATAAAACATACGGTTCAAGTGAAGTATTGAAAATGGAGATAGATGTAGTAGAGAAGAGATGGCAGTAGAACTTCTGAACAACTCGTTATATACAATCTTCTATTTTTCCGAAGTACTTTTTTGTCGGAATCTAATATGGAAAGCAAAATATGTCATTTCATTCAAAAAATCTAACTTTTGACACCCTACGCTTGTCATACTCGGACCCTGTCATATTTCAGAAAAGCACAATGCATTGTAATATTTATGCGAAACATTTTTTTGCTTCAATTTGCTTCTTATTATCTTTTTCGGATCTTCTTGTAGGTAGCAAAATACTTATTATAGATTTATACTTAGATTCAATAAACTGCCTGAAATCTGCAAGTTAACACTAACGCCATCAGAACATTATTCAATTCAAACATTCATTTTTTATGTACAAGACGAATATCTTATTTTAGTAGGTAACTGAATCTGCGGGTTTGATAACTATTTCAGATAAAAAAATACAGCACAGTTTCTCATTTTCTTTGCCAGTCTTGCCCACCTTGAATACTAGAACCCTGAGATTCTCCGTTTTGGCTCAAGCTGAATAAGTCTTGTTTTTCAATATATACGCCCTTTAAGTCAGTGTTCCAAGCTAAGAGTAATCCTAGCTTCAGGTAATCCTAGGTTCAGAAATGATTCTTCAGATGAAGTCTTATCCACTATTTTTCTTGAAATTTGTGTCATTTCATGTTTTCATTTTTTATTGTTTTGCATTTTAATAAAAACTACTGACATCATTATAAAACATATGGAAACTCTTTCGAATTAGATATTGAGCGGGATTCACACTTGAAAATATAGTGGATGTGGCTTGAGCCGAAGATATGCGAAGGTTCAAGTCTTTCATTATTGGCTCCCCTAATCGGTATGTTTTTAAAATTTATGTTATGTTTTTTCCGTGGGTTTGACAAAAATTGACTACACTGTATGATTGAACTCAACTTTATTTCACTGCTTCAATGATAAATTTATATTCGAATGTCTACCGTACTTCGTACCGCACTATCGACTAGACGTACAATCTGCCGTTGCTAGTGTTTATATATCGTGAAGAAAGTATCTGGAAGCTGATATAAAAGACTCTGGAAGTATCTCGAAGCGACGCGACATCAAGAACGATCAAGAGAAACGCAATCTAGTTGATCGCGATCTTGGCCAAGTCACAATCGATTGACGAAGACCAGCGGCGGCCTGCGTTTCAGTTTTCAGGAGATATTTACAAAATTATGTAAATATCTCTTTCGGTTTTTAAAAAATCGAATTAATTTTGTCCACATGTGTATTCTGTATAATTATTCTCAATATTTAGTTACATAAAGTTTGTCATATCTACGAAGAGACTTCAGAATACTCACAATTCTGGACCATATCGAAATTTCTACATTTGACAAGCTGTACACATTTCAATCTAAACCCTCAAATAAGTGTCCAATTCCAAAACTTGAAAGTACGCCATTGAGGATGATAATGTTCCATATATGTGAAATTTTGTATCAAAACTCTTTCATATAGTATGTAGCGTTCCTATGGAAAAAATTATTTCCGTAACATTCATTCATTTTTCATATGAAATAAGTTTTTTCGAATGTACTGTTTCTTTCATGTAATTCAATGTTCATGTGGAAGTAGTTGTTTCGGAAGGTTTTTTCCAGTTTGTGTCTGAAAGTTACTTCTCTGTATTCTACATATCTTGGTAAAAAGTTTATTTTGACCTTAATTGTTTCTTTCATCTTACATATATGGAGAAGTTGGACGCTAAAAAGCTTTATTCTCAAAACTCATCTCCCCCTTTCAATTTATAAAAAAGTATTATCATACGGATAAAAAGTACAAGAAATCTCTATGAATTTAACTTTTCACGACTCCTTTTCAGTTTGGAAGAGCTAATATACTTAATTGAGGTAATTCAAGTGAAGTGTTGGTCGAGCTCTTGAGGACCTGAATGTCCTTTGGGAAAGCTCAACTTTAAAAGTTCTGAAAAGAGCGAACAACATGACGAAACCCTCTGGAGTTGACTCACTTCTATTATCTGACTTCCTGACATTGTAATCAGTTTATGAAACCTTCTAAACAATAAAAGGAGCGAGGCGTGAAGTTGCAAACAAGAAAACTTAACAATCGATAATACATCCTCTTGTTCTGAATGGGAATTCTTGAAATGTTACCTTTTGTGCGGAAAGTTTGAATGCGCAAAAAGGCTGTACTTTTTAATTTTTTGTTGCTTAAAAAGTGCGACGACGAAGTCGAAATTTCGAAATTACACTTTGTAAATTCTCATTTGAATGTATAAACAAATAATCAACAAATTCTTTTCATTTATTGCACTTTACAAATATACACTTACGATTTTCATCATTTCAATACTATGACATATTAAAAAACTATAAATAATATTACAGAATTTCCCAATAGCCAACAACAATGATACTTCTGATACTCTATCAAGGAAAGTTCGAGTGAAACTTTGATTTAAAAATATGTTCCTTCTCTAAACGATTTTGTTTTCGTTCAGCATTTTTATCTTAAGAAATTAGGATGGACGCTGTTGGGTAACCAAACTTTGTTCTTTTTATGAGAAGGAATTTGCCGATAGTGTGAAAAGTGATAATATATTGTGAAATTTTCATCGAACAGTCTACAAAACCCTAACACGTGTTTTACTAATCTTCAAGCGCGTGTGTTTCTATTACTGTCTGTATGCGTGCGCGTATGTGTATCAAAAGATGGATTGTGAGTGTTGAATTTGTTTTCAAAAAACTACTTTTACATATGTTCTTTGATTCTTTTGGGAAAAAAAATCCCATCTTCCGTACAAAAGCGATGATTTGTTTTCAATTCGTAGTATATTGCTGTGAACCGAGATGTTCGTGATGTATAAAATAATAATAACCAGATAAGAAGACCGTGTAGCTTACGAGGAGGAGGAAAAATGAAATCTAAAAGTACTAATAATTCCGGAGAGGCTGAAATATTCAAAAAGTTGACAAACTTCGTGGCGTCGGCTGTATGGGAGATGGTTGGTCCTAGGAAGAAATAGTCATCGCCCTAATTTTCAGGCTTATCTGTACTGTTTTGGAGCCACCTGATTTGTTTATTTCTTCTGAAAAAAATGCAGCATCATGGACATTTCTTCTTCCATATTTTCATGAGCAAATATTCTGTAATTTTTCAGTTCTCTTCAACAGATTTCCCCATGTGTGATCCCAGGTTTATTTTTTCAATATCCTTCATCTCATTTCCTGATCTGTTTCCGTTATGAAGATTTTGGTACGCACATAATTGGTTCCGAATTCATATATGGAGTGGATGATCCGAGTATGCTCATCATCTTTTATAATGCTAATGATTTCTGGAGTCCAGTATAGAGCCAATCTATTTCTGTCAGCTTGTTCTTTCAGTTCTACATGCCATATCCAGACTAGTCTCGATATCTGAAGGAATATTCATACACTAATTTCGTTCCTTATGCAGAACTGTACCTGGAAAACGAATGTACAGTGAAAGAGCGGGTAGAAGTAATGAAGATCACTCTTGTAGTGGCGATGTAAGAGTACACGTTTCCTGTTGCTTCTTTTCCTGCACGCACACATTCAAGCACGCATATACATGATGAATCTGATGACTATGCAAATATAGAGAAACAAAGCTGATAGGACACTAGAATTATTATAATGGTATGTGATGGATTTGGACGATACTAGAAGGAATTTCATAACTTATTTAAGTAACACTGTATTGTTAGGTTTCCACTGGATAGTTTACAAAACCGCAACACGTGTTTCGCTGTACAATACTATCCATGATAATGATTAAACAATTCTCACAAATAAAATTTCGGTGTTATTACTACCAATGAAGCTACAGTATTAGTAAAAGACTAGCACAAACAAGCAAATGTTATTTGTGAGAATTGCGTAGTTATCATAATGGGGCAGTATTATTAATTTTCATTAAATAACAGGTAGTTGTACTTATAATTCGATATATAATAGCTTCCTCAAGCGTTTCAATATATTATGAACGCTTGAGGAAATTATTGTATAGCGAAACATGTGTTGTGGTTTCCATACAGTATGAACACTTAAGAAAACTATTGAATAGCGAAACACATGTTTAGGTTTCTATACAGCATGAAAGCGTTTGAGGAAACTAATGTATAGCGAAATACGTGTTGTGGTTTTCATACAGTATGAACGCTTGAGGAAGCTATCATTTAGCGGAATACGTGTTGTGGTTTCTATACAGTACGAAAAGGCTTGAGGAAGCTAATGTATAGCAAAACACATATTGTGGTTTTTATACAGTATGAACGCTTGAGGAAGCTATTGTATAACGAAACACGTGTTGTGGTTTTTATACAGTACGGAAACGATTGAGGAAGCTATTGTATAGCGAAACCCGTGTTGCGGTTTCCATACAGTTTGAACGCTTGAGTAGGCTTTTGTATAGCGGAACACGTGTTGTGGTTTCCATATTGTATGAACGCTTAAGATATTGTATAGCGAAACACGTGTTGCAGTTTTTATACGGAATGAAAACGTTTAGGGAAGCTATTGTTTAGCGAACACGTGTTGTGGTTTTCATACAGTATGAACGCTTGGGAAAGCTATTGTATAGCTAAACACGTATTGCGGATTATATGCAGTCTGAAAACACTTGAGGAGCTATTGCATAGCGAAACAAGTGTTGCGGTTTCTTATACAGTATGAAAACGTTTGAGGAAGCTGTTGTACAGCGAAACACGGATTGCGGTTTTGTAAACTGTACAGTGAAAATCTCACGATGAAGTATTACTTGAATACATTACAATGATATTGAAAATTAAGCAAATGAAGCTATCAAATTATACAAAATTTATGTCAGAGTATCTGAATATGTGAATTTAGTATACTTCATTAGTACTAGCTGGAATTTTTTGGAAAAACTGTTCAGTGAAAGTCTCACAATAAAGTGTTTTTTGAATACGTTTTGTTAAATGTTTGTTCTCTAAGCATCTTTTCTCAAGTTTTGAATATCTCCAATATTTTTATTGAATATAAACTTTTACATTATTTGTTTGCAGAACTCGACACGTGAATCACTCTGGATGAAATTATGAGACAAACTACACCTCAATCATGGTTTTCTCTAAAGCTGAAAGTACAAGTTGCGAAATGACAATTGTAAATTAGTGTAAATATCCACATTGTACTGACATGATTGCCTTCAAATCGTTGATATTCACTCACCTGCGATGGAAATGGATTCTTCACGTTTATTGCTCGACGAAGGGCTGCAATTTGGTGCTGACAGTTCTAGAGTGGGTGATTTGCTAATGGATTCCAGCGGTGACTCGACTGATGCGGGAACTGCATTTGGTTGTTGGGAGCTACGGCGTTTCATCGACTTTGAACCGATTTTGATAGGGGCGTGCATATGCGGGTAGTTTTTGCGGTGCTCTGTGAACGAAAAAAAGATCATGTCGATTTTCTAGAATTACCTGCTACATCTGAAAAATAGTACTGGGTCGAATAAATGAAATCACTATTGTTTTTTCTAAACGTTTCGACTTTTCAACGTCGGTAAGAGAATCAAAGTGATTTCAGTCATTTGAACTATTCCTTTGATCGTTTAATTCGGGAAGGTCACAAAAAACACTCAATTCTCTGCTAAGGTTTAATTGTTTCGAAATCGTTTATATCAATGACAACATAAACAACTACCTATACGATGGGTTGAATAGTTCGTAACCTAACACACAGATGGCGCTACTAGAATTGAATGCATGATTTTCAGTTAATTCTAACCTTCAAATTCTAACGTGTATCAATTTCACAGCTGTCGGACTACTTAGTTTGTGGGATAGAACATTTTGAGTGAAGTACCTATTGTTAGTTTGAAAAAAATGGATTAAAAGAAATTTCGCGTGTTGATAATGCATTGCTTTTTGGCGAAAAGAAATACTGTTGAAGCCAAGACTTAATGGATTGGATTGATAAACATCATCCGGACTTTGCACCAGGAAAATCATCCGATTTGAACCGATTTTGATAGGAGCGTGCATATGCGGGGAATTTTTGCGGTACTCTGTAAACGAAAGAAAGTTCATGTCGGTTTTCTTGGTCGAATGAATGAAATCATTATTGTTTTTTTCCCGCGTTTCGACTTTTTAATGTCGGCAAAAAAATAAAAGTGGTTTCAGTTATTTGAACTTTTCCATTGATCATTTGTGTGTTGATAAAACACTGCTTTTTGGCGAAAAAAATACTGTTGAAGCCAAGGCTTGGATTGATAAACATTATTTGGACTTTGTACCAGGAAAATCATCTGATCAGAAGTGGTTGGCTAAGTTAAAACGAGGTAAATTGAGCATGAAAAATCTTCCAAATAACTATAGACTAGTCGCTTTGCTATCAGTGATATCATGGAGAAAGTTGTAAACCACCATATCCTCAAATATTTGGACGACTTCAACATCTTGAGCGATCATCAATATGGCTTTCGGAAACCAAGATCAGCAGGCGACCTTTTATCGTATGTCACCCATATTTGGAATAAAGCAAACGAGAAACATGGAGAATCAAGAGCTGTTGATCTTAATATTTCTGAGACCTTTGACCGTGTGTGACATGAGGGTTTGCTGGCCAAACTTCGGTGCTATGGCTTGTCGGATCATTTTTGTGTATGGCTCTTCAGCTTCCTTAAAAAACGTTCCCTGCAAGTGTTCGTCGATGGATATCACTCGAATACTTTTACCATCAACTCTGGTGTTCCTCAGGGATCCATTTTGTCTCCAATCCTCTGTTAATTGTATATCAACGACTTTTTGGGAAAAATCAAGAATATATTGCTTTGCTGACGACAGCACACTTGTCTCGTCATTCCATTTGGATTCCAGGACATCGACTACGGAGGTACATCTTTACCGGCAGCAGAAGGTTGCAAATCTTATTAGGGATGTAGAAGTGATTTCGAATTGAGGTGAAAGTAATCAGGTTCAATTCAATGCCACAGAAACCCAAAAAGATAAATGTCTCCGAATCGGATATAATAATGCCAGGTCAGACAATCAATTCCGTTTTCTGCTTCGATAAGTTTGTTGAGGGTTAAAATGGACACCAATGTGTCTTGGTATAATCATGTCGCTGGAATTGCAAAGGCTACTTCTCAAAAGCTTGGAACACTGTTCCGAACTAGAAAACTACAGACCTCAGCAACGTTTGATGCTTTATGAAGCTCAGATCAGACCTTCTTTGGAGTATTGTTCTCATGTATGGAGCTCTGCCCCCAAACACCTTGAAGTTGCTGATTTTATCTGCCTGATTGGAATCGTGAACATCACGTGCAACATTGATACCCTGGAACATGGAAGAAAGGATGGAGATTTGTCTCTCTTCTATAGATACTTTCACACTGACTTAGCACATTTTATTCCACCAAGAGCAGTACATATCAGAAATACGCGACGGACTGTGGCTGCTCATCGTTTTGAAGTTCAACTGAGTACACCTCAAACTTCACTGTTCAAGAACTCTTTCACTTGGAGAACTGCGTTTATGCGAAATAAACTTCCTGGGAACGTTTTTCCAAATGGATTGAATCTCCAGCGATTCAAATCTAATGTGAATCGCTACTTTCCCACAGACACTGCTCTGAGAGGGCCTTGAGGGTTTACCTGTATTGTGTTTTGTTCTCAAAAAAACGACGACGATGCACGCAGTGAACGCCCCAAAGAGGCTTTCGCTGATGAAAACATCAAATAAGTCCGCAAAATAATTTTGGATCACCGCAAAGCGAACATGAGGATTGTTGTAGGGAGGAGGAGGTTGACAAGAGGTTAATTTTCAAGTAAAAATGTGTTCTCTTGAGAAGTTAAGTTAGCATGTTCCATGATTCCTTTACAATTTCAATATCAAATGACTCAATCAGGGTAGTTTGTCTGGAATGATTTGTATATTAGCTAAATATAACCAAAACGTGAAATATATTATCACTGATATTTTCAACTAATTGCTTTGATGTAGCGCTTCCCTAATGGATCAACATATTTATCAGAGAAACAGTTTCTGAATGATTTATGTGTTTGGAAACTTGACACAGTGAAACTCGGAAAGGAGATCTGGGAAATTATGCGTATCCAAACGACCCAACTACCATTATTTCACAGTACTGAATTATGAACTGAAAATCAAATTAGTTGCTTATTTGGGATAAGAAAATCATTCATTGTATTACAAATAGTAAAGTTTCCACGCACCTAAATGGATTATCTGTGATGACCTAGGGATGAATTACGTTCTTAGGTAATAACTGAAGGAAAACTAGAGGCATCTAAAAATTAAATTATGTAAATTATCTATTTTCGTTATTTATGACGATGACCAGTTAGTTGATTGCTTTTACCAATTCAATTTTATAAACTAGTGACTACGTATACTATGTATACTAAGTAAATAATTATCTAAATGATATTCATATAATTCAATTTAATTTATTTTATTTATACAGGCTTTGTCAACAAGATGTTATTCTTTGATAATAAAGCATATTTTGATTGATTGATTGATTAATTGGTGAGTTCTACATTTGAAATCACTATTGTGAATGTTGCTTCAATCCCAAATTTTGGACGAAGCTGCAAGGTGGAACAAATATTCACTGATTTTATTTTATTGTAATGAAATGAAATCAATGTAAATAAAAAACGTCTTCGGCCTCAGAACAAAACACTGTAGCTCCACGTGTTTTGCTAACCGAATTAGCATCATCAGAAGATCATAAATACAAAGACAAAGAGGAAACTCATCTCAGCTTCTTGTGCAAAGCTAGAGACAACAACATAATACCCAAAGGTTTTTGCTGAAATCGCCAATCCCAGGAGAGAGAGCCAAACGCATATTGGAACGCGCCAGCCGAGCACCAATAAGGTCTCAAATTAATTACCACCATTGGAAGAGGCCAGCTCTGAGGCAGGATGCCACAGAATGATTTGAAGAAATAAGAAGAGAGACCTTGGAAGAGGATCATGGACCAATCTTTGCCAAGATTGAAAGCACGTGCTTGAAGATCCGACAAGACATGGAGAATACCCACAACAGGAACTGGGGAAAGTTGGTGAGGAAACGATGCCCAAATGCAGAACGAGAACAGGACAACTATGAAGCCGCTAACGTCATCAACATGAGTTCCCGCCCGCTCACGGACATACACGTAGATCGTAAGAGACCCTACTGCATCAATTGAAAGGAAGTTGTACCAGACTTTGAAAAAACACCAAGTCTATTTTACGGAAAAAGAGAGATCATCGCTAACACCGCACCACAGTGAGCCCCCTCACTTGTATGGGCTACCCAAAATCCATAAAGAGGATGTTCCGCTCAGATCGATCATTAGCTCCAGAGATTCAGCCAGTCAGAACTTGTCCAGATTTTTACTACCAATAATTAAACCACTGCAAAGTAAAACATCATCTTTTGTAAAAAAATTCAAGGCATTTCGTTGAACTACTAGGGGAAATCGAAGTCAAAGAGCAGGATCAACTGATCAGTTTCGACGTGGAAAGCCTCTACACCAACGTTCCTGTCGAAGAAGCACTTCAAATCATATCAATTGACAATGTTTCGTGGTGTATTTCATCAGTTCGGTCTTCCATTGATTTGAAATCTCTGAAAAAAGATTACCCGGAAATAACAATTTTATTAAAAGAAAAAACTGAAATTACAAGGAAATAACATACAAGCTACAACTAGAAAATAGAAAATTGAAATATTAATGAAAGCTGAAAATTTAAAAATATTATCAACAAAAATGAAAAATAAAAATTTAAAGATTCCAAACCAAGTTACGTCACGACGTTTCGATTGTTAGTATCCACAATCATCTTCGGGTGATAACTGGATTTATTCCTCCAAGATCTGACTATTTATAGGTCATTCACGTGCTTTCACCTTTCACCTATCCCCTCTTTCCTCTTTCCGGTTCAATGGTTTTAGCGGGAGATGACCGTTTGGCGGGAGTTGGTCGTTTTTCGCTTGATAAGAGGTTTCCATATGTTACGTATCTCTACGCTAGCTTGACTAAATACGTTGTTGGACAACATATACGCGGCTTCCTTGAATTTTCCTCTTTGTCGATGATTTCAGCTTGAGCCCATTTGATATTGCTGGTATTGCTGGTTTCTCCTCGCTGTGTGTGTTTCTTGTGCTCAGCAATGCGAACTTTCAATGGCCTCTTAGTTTCACCGGTGTATGATTCTCCGCACTCGCAGGGTATCCGGTAAATGCAATTCATGGAATCGCAGTCCGCGTTTGGTGACCTGGTTTTTGTGAGGCTGCTACGGATAGTGTTCTCAGATCTGAAGCAGGTCCTGATATTATACTTGGACCCAATCCTTCTTATCCTTTCCGATAATCCTCCGATGTAGGGAAGTACAAGTATTGGTTGTGGCGTTTGGTGACCT